GTTCAGCAACAACATTCTGGACACTGCTGTGTTGAACTAACAGTTATTTTTATTACAATTCTCTGGAATCATATCCAGGGTGGATTTTAACAGTTGCATCAGTATGCAGATCTTATACCTGCTCTGCCTCTGACTTGATCCAGTCCAGTCCTGTGGAGAGAGAGAAACCAAGCAAGCCTCTGGCTCCTCATGACAGAGAAAATGGTGTCCCCAGTGCTGCAAAACTGCCACAAAGCAAACTGAACCCCGCTGTGCTTAACAAGAGGGCTTTGGCCTTAAAGGGACACAATACCATGCGTGATGCCCTTCTACGAAGGGAAAGAAATGTATATACTTAATTGTTTGCTGCTCCACCACCCCCTGCAACTAAAAAAAAAAGTATAGGAATCAGTTCTACCATCAACACTGACAAGGGATTCTTAGGGTAATTCATCTTTCACTATGCTGGCTGTTCATGGGTGGCTCCAAAGAACTGAAAGAACAGATCAGTCATTTCAGCACAAAAGTTCTGCCTTAAGAACTGGCACTTCTCAGGATAATCAGTTCTGGTGGATTAGCATGACCTCCTGACACCTGTCTTATAAACAGCTCCTATTTTTTCCCCAGTTCTATATTTTAATAACTGTGGAAAAAGCTATACTACTCCAGCTTTAGATATTGGGCAATTCAGAGGTGACTGCATTGAATGGTGAAACTCAATCTTCTGAATTTCCTGAACTGGCCAAAGACTTTTTCCATAGTTATATTATATGGGCAGTGGTCATGGAACTGAAGCAGGGGCTATACTTGGCTATTGTACACCAGTTCCTATAAACTTTTGTTGTGTGTCCCAATTTGTATCTAGACTGTTAGTTCTTTGAGGCCAGTACATTCTCACTTTCATTCTCTGTGTGTGTGTGCACAGCAGAATAGAAACCCTTTACACAATAGTTAATAATAGTTTTCTTATATTTATTTTGACAAAAGTATTTCCCCCAATGTTGTTGATTGCTTGAGCCATATTCTTTCTGTTCTGGAAGCTGCATATTGCTTTGTATTTAAAAATTAAAGGCACCTGAGAACAGCCACTTCTGCTAGCCATTGGGTATTTCTTGGATGTTATAGCAAAGAACAGAAGTCACAAGTATCCTCCACAGTGGTTCTGCTGTGTACAAAATGTCAAAGGAAAATAGCTGGACTTCTCACCAAATAGTTCAGAATATGAACTATAAATGTTTTTTTGCAAAGATCTATCAAGAGCTTAATTCAGCTCCAAACTCAAGTACTTTATACAATTCACAAATTAGTCCCTTTGCTTCTTACTGTTATGTTCCATTTCTACTAAATCAAGTACATTTGTGTAGTGGGCAGGAAAAAAAAAAGTGCTTGGAAACTTCACTCTCTACCTCACCCTCTACAAGCATGGAAAAATCAAGCTTCTGCTGTGAATGTTTTCTGCTGATTTATGTCTACAATGAGCACTTTGTCATTATTGTGCATGTTATCCGTTCCCAAGTACAGTGTTTTCCCATTCAGAAAATCTTGCGACATGTACAGTTGCCCCTGTGGGATTCTTGGGTGTGCAGGAAAGGAAGGACTGGGTATACAATATTCATTTAGACCTCTGGAGAATATACATATGAACTTCTGGGGCATATTTCATTTAAGAATATCTGGATTATGCATGCAAAAGAAAATGATGTAAAGGTTACAGCTCATAAAAGTTAATTTCTCTACAAACAAGTCTTCCATTCTAACCCCATCTCTAGACTGTAACTGCCCTCACAAACAATGACTAGTAACCTTGCCAAATCAGTGCAGTCTTAGTGATTTAAAAAAAAAAAACTTTTATTATTCCTTATTCTTTTTATTACAGCAATGTTTATAAACCCCAAAGGACATTCAGTGAGACAAGATATGGAAACACAGAAAGAGTCTCTATACTGAACAGCTTGCATTTAAAATATACAAGACAGATGGAGGATGCATAGGCAGAGAAGAACAAAATGATTTGCCCTAGGTTGCACGAGAGGTCAATAATAGATCTTTGAACAGAAATACAAAGTCCTGATCCTGTGCCCTACTCATTACCTCCAACAGTTGGGAAACAAGTTGATACCAGAAAAATAATTTTCACTTTTGACCTTGGTTCAAGACATATGAAGCTTGTGCATGAATACAGTCTTCTAAGAGAAAGTTGTAATCTGGTGTTCAGGGAAAAATAGTATAGTGTATGTAATACTAGATTTTTTATAAATACAGAAAATGTAATGTAGGGCTACAGAAACATATGGTAGTACAATCTCACAGATTTAGCCTTTGCAGAATTTTATATATGCATTGTTTTCTACCAAACCAAACATCTTCAGCAATGGTAATCAATATATTGGTTTGCTTAAACTTTTGAAGGAATTGTATCCTGAAAACTAAGTGTAAAAATAACCATACAGGCATTTTATACTTATTAGTTTCACTGCCTTGTTTAGCCAATACAATCCATTTACAAGTCAAAAGAGCTTTTTTCAGTGCTGGCATTGAATATTCAACTAGAGATCTAACATTTAGTTGAAATATTTATTCCTCTTGTTATCATTAGTGGTAAAGGGTTGAATTTTGCCAAATGTGTGAAGCTGAACAGAATCTATTTAATTTACTTCTACTTGCATTGATTCAGCAGTGCTAAATAGCAGGAACAGGACAGTTAAGCAGGGAGATAAGACTCAATGATGCACCAGGAACAGAGAGTTGCTGAGTAAGAAGCAGCCATTTCTAGCCCTTTTCTTCTCTTTCTGGCATTGCCATAAAATCACTTCACTAGGGTCAGTAATGGGCAAATAGTAATTAATTCTTAAAACAAAGTTCCCAACTCTTAAGTTTCTGGAGATAAGGCAGTACAAAATCAAAGTCACGGGCCTTGTTTTAAGAAAGTGGATCAGTAAACACTCAAGTTTAAGTACAAGTATTCAATAGCCTTCAGTGGGATTACTGATGCACTTTACATTAAACTTATGCCTTAATATTTTGATTAATTGGAGCTGAAATCCCACCCACCATTCACTCTTCAGGCTTTGAAAGGTTTTATTTTATTTCTGAGGTAGTTTATTGAATAGGCAAGTGTCAACATAAAGAGGAGAAAAAATCATATTGAGCATTGTTTTTTTCTATTTTCATCATTAGTAGCTTCTAAAATGGTATTAGAAATATAGTAGAAAAACAATATTTTGGGTTTACACATGCATTATCTGTCCATTCTACAGAATATTCTGTATGTTGAGATGCACTGTTTTTTTCCCCCAGTATAATCAATTTGTTAGGTTCCCCTGTTGTTCATTCCCAAAGCAACAGGGGGAAGAAGAGTTTCTTTCAAATAGTAGAAAGTGACTTATGGAAAACCACAAAAATTAGTTCTCAGCATACTAGTACTTTGGGGGTCTGTACCTACAGGAAACTTCTTTTAATTGACTGTAGGCAGACAAGGTTCCTTGGGTGAATCTAATATCTACAACCTACACCACTTTAATTGACTGTATACTTCAAGATATTTTAAAATAATGTGCCTGAGTCATTCATAAATTAGTCATGACATTACAACAGACAATCCAAAGAACAATTCTCATTTTACTTTCTATTTTACTACAGCATTTTTGTTATTTGCATGTTATTTTTCATACTGTGTATTATTAAAAACAATTCTAGAAGCCTAAAACTACTAAACATTTTACAGTTTAACTGAATACTGTGATGGAGAACAAGATGATCAAGAAATAATTGTATCCTGTCATGTGATCATTGTCTTCAAAAGTTTTGGTTGGACACTCCCCCCTCCCCCCAACTACATTGACTTCAACAGACTGAGACTAGTTTATGTCAGTTAAGGAGTTACTGTATTTGTACTTTTTTTTTTAAGGTAGAAAATCATTTTAGATCACCTGTCTAATCTTTTCCCTCAATGACATATGTTATCTTTTTCATTCACGAGAGGTAGAAAGTCTAGGCTTGGCTATAACACTCTTGCTTGCTACATAACAAATAGTGTTATATTTAAAGAAAAAATTGAATCACTAGCTCAAACCACTTCACAGAGATGAGCATTGTTCCCCTGTTCTAGAGTTGGGATAAGAAGGGACAAGAGGAGCTAAATGCCTTGCACAAGGTCACATTGGGCAGCTTGTAGCAAGGTCAGGCAACAAATCATTCCTAATTCTCAGTGCTCAGTTCTGCCACCTAAGCTACAAGTTTTAGAACACAAAAAGCTTTCACAGATGTGGTGCTAGGACCTTGGCACTCCTGAACAAACAACACAGCAGGGGTCAAACCTAGATTTTGAAAGTGTCCACATAACTAAGAAACATTAAGCAACAACATTCACCTACATTTTAAACATGTGGACCTAAGAAATATTAAAAACCAATATTAAATAGTAAACTCCTAACATATCCTGTTTTCAGCCAACAACAAATAAACATGAAGACACCATGCAAAAGCCCAGTACTAAAGAAACCTGTACAGTTGATACACTTCTAGCCAGCCCCAAGGTTTGCCAGCAATGAAGCAGAACAGCTGGCTTTCCTCTTTCAGTCTCCCCTCTCTCCCAATGGGGAAAACAGCCAGACTGATTTCCAAAGGGAAGCAGAATGATACCAAAAAGACATGAAACTGAACAAAATAGATATAGATATAGATATCCTTGAAGAATCCTAGGGGTCTGGTCGTCATGGAAACAAGTCCCCACTAATGAGCTTTCCTAGATAAGGGTGATGAATGTCCCAGTCCCATAAATTAGTAGGATCCAGGCACGATTAAGAGTCAAGGGAGGGCCAAGCCTGGATGCAGAGCCTGGCTCTCAGTTTGCCCTTTCCATCAGTGTACTGGGCTGGGCACTTCACATCCCCTGTGGGCTGCCTTCCTGTCCGAGGAGGCACAGAAAGTTTCCCAAATCCGAGCTGACAAAGGGGCCGGGTAGAAAAGGGGGTGGGGGGCGCGCCCAAGACCCTCCCCCCCACCGTGTCCTTCTTACCTACCTGCGAAGCGGCGGCTGCCAGGCAGCAGGACCCGGTGCCTGCAGGTTTCTCGCCAGCAGGGAGTCTCCTGCCTTTCACATCACCCCCTCCCTTGCCCCCAGCCCCCCCGAGACGGGGCCGCTGGGGTCTGCCCCCGCCCGGGCGGAGACCAGGCTCTCTGGACCCCTCCCGAGATGCCACTCACCTGGGGGAGCCCCAGCCCGCCCCTGCTCCTGCCCTGCGGGCTCTGCCTGCCGGGTCATCGGCCCCTGCCTGCGGGGCTGGCGCACGCCGGGGAGGGACAGCGCCGCCCGGAGCCTCCTTCCTCCTCCCAGCCGGGGCGGGCGCTGCTTAGCCGGTGCCGGGCTGCAGCATCCCTCCCCGGGGCGGGGGCTGCTCCGCGGCCGAGCTGACAGGGAGCGAGCGCCGCCGCCTCCTCCTGCAAGCCGCGGCGAGGCGGGGGCGCTCTCGGCTCCGTGCCTTCGCCACAAAAGTTGCGCCCCTGCGATGCCAAGTCGGGCTGTGGGGGCACCGCTGCGCTTCGGGCACAGCCCCGCCTGGTCCCCCCGCTGGAGAGGGTCTGGGGGGCAAGCGGCCTCCCAGGGCGGCTGCTGGCTGGCCCTGGCGCTGGGGCCCCCTCATTGCAGCTTCCCCTCAGGGGGGTCTTGGGTCTTTGGAAGAAAGGCTTCACCCCTCGCCCGGAGAATCATCTCAGACAAGGGTGGGAAGGGGGCGCAGGAGGGTCACCTGGTGCCAGGGGTAAAGCAACACCTGCTCTTTGTGTGGGGATTAAATGGGCTGTAAATAACTTTAAAAACAAAGCAGCGTTGTGGGCAACCACTCATTCATGCTGTCTTTTCTCCTTGTCACCGGAAGTGAGGGTTGGAAGGGACCCCGGGAGGTCACTCGTCCAACTCCTGATGGATCAGCCCCACCTAGATCATCCCGGCTGGGCTTTGTCTCTCTGGGGCTTAAAAACCTCCAAGGGTGGAGATCCCGCCATCTCTCCGCGTAGCCTGGTCCAGTGCTTCACCACCCTCGTGAGAGAGTTTTTCCTCATGTCTAACCTCAACTTCCCTTGCTGCAACTTGAGCCCATTGGTCCTTGTTCTGTCATCTGCCGCCACTGGGAACAGTCCAGCTCCTCTTTGTAATCAGCTGAAGGCTGGTTTTAAATCCCCTCTCGGGCTCCTCTTCTCTAGAGAAAATAAGTCCAGTTCCTTCAGCCTGTCCTCATAAATCATGTCCCCCCCAAGCGCCCCGACATTTTCAGTGCCCTCCACCGGACTCCTTCCAACTTGTCCACATATTTTCCACTTCTCCCCATGCATTTATTTACTACCAGGATTAAGGATGGGCTCTAACACATCTATTAGCACCTCACCCCCTTTGCTTCAGATTCTTACTTTCTTTCTTTTTTTGCTGCCCAGAGAGGTGGGGAAGCACTTCATTAAAGCTCCAGCCCTGCCCAGCTGCGAGTGTCAATAGAGCCTCAGGGACTGGCTCATTAAGTGCAATGACAGGATTAATGGTTAATACCCTGTATGCAGGGGTGTACAGAGTGAGATCTGCCCGGGTCGGAACAAAGCCCTGTCTAATACAGACATGGTTACTATGGCAAAGGAGGCGTGTGTTTATGGCTGGTACACCCAGGCATCAATTAGTACAGAAACCAAACCAAGCAAGTGCAAATGCAATTTGCTACGGGGATATGGTAAAATACTTGAATAGAATCTCCTAGAAACAGTGACGCAAGTGATAGCCTGGTACCACTGCTGGCAATCAGTAGCCTTTGCTTAGTAACCGGATAATAGTTGGATTCCCACATTTTACTACAAAGGAAAAGAGCTAAGGTTAGATGGAGGCTGCAGGGGGGAAACACTCTTGACTTCAATTAGCGGGAGTTTAAATGGGCTCTGGGGCAGAAGGGTAAAAGTCCAATTTTGAATGCGATTCCACACAACACACACACAGAGCCACTTATGGTTTCATAGCTCCATATTTAAAGGTGTAGTTAAGCAGTTCTACAAATGTAACATATTTACTCAGCTGGGGAAAGGTATTTCTATTTCTCTGAGGCAAAGAAAAGCAGAGGAGCTGCAAAAAACCCAAACAAAAACAAAAAACACAAAACCAAACAAACAGAAATATCCTCAGGTGCTCATACGGAAGAAACCAGGCAGTTTTAATAGGGAAGCTGTACAGTGATTTATGAGATCAGTGCTTGGGCTTCCTTGTCCAAACACTCCCACCCAACGCACACTGAAACCTGGCAGGCATTCAGAAGACTGGGATCTGACTTCCCTATAGGGTTGCCTTAAATTGACAAATTTACCAATGGTCTCTTGTATGTAAATTATATTCCAAATAAGGCATATGTTTCTTCTACAGTGTATTGCATAAATTATGCAAAACAGGGAGCACTGTAGAAATTGTCACAAGAGTGATGATGACTCATACTAGCCAAATGTGTATTATTTACTGTTTGTGGCTACAGCCACATTTAAAGTAGGCTGCTTAATAATATAATCTGCACGTTCAGAACTGCTGAGGTTTAATTATGATATAGAGGAAGTGAAGTATCATTTCTTATCCAATCTCTCTCTTTCTCTCTACACTAGCTTAACAAACTGTCCTGTATGATAGCTTCATATCCATTAACTTAACTATATTACTTAAATATAGAACCTCAAGCTGCTGAGATGCACTTTAGATATATAGATATTGTATAGGCAAAGCAGTGTGATTACAAAATCTGTTTATGAAATAAGGGAAATACAAAGAGTGATATGTATACCTTTTATGCTAGGCAATCCAGTCAGCCATCTGAAAGCTACAAAAGGTGGTTTTTTTTATTTTAGAATTTTAAACAGAGATCAAATTCCACCATCCTGCCCCTATGCCTTACAATAGGCTCTTTCAGTATGCAATTGTAATAAAACTGCACAGCTCTATACCACAGGGCATAGATAGCTCTTTTACAAATAGGAATGTAGGTGGGGGAATGTTAATATTTCATATACTAATTGTGGTAGCTTTTCCAATTATGCAGAGAAATTAGTAGATTAGTTTATCCACTTCGTACTATGTAAGTGCTCCATACTTTCACTGAGTCCCCAAACTTCTAAACCGAAAGGACAAGATGCTGAATGAAAATGTAGAGTTGAAGGGAAAGTAACAACCAGCTATTCCAATTCCATATTTTTTTTCTATTTTGTTTTGTCAGTAAGCATACACGGACAACCTTGATGTCAATGATGTGGGCTCTCCCATGACAATCCTTCTCTGGTTAAGCACTATGCATCAAGGAAATTCTCACCATCCTGTGGCAAAGATTCAAAAGTAGGTATCGCCTGGTGAGCATCACAAACATCCTTTCCTTTCTCCTGTCCTTGTGACAAGGTATTTAGCAGAATTCACAGATTTGTTGGACTCTAACATGGCTGTGCTGTGAGGGCTTCTGCTATGGTCTCAAACTCAAAAGACATGTTTTAAATAGCTATGAAACTTCCCTCCAATTTTCAAGACAATAAAGTAATAACTCCCTGAAGAGTGGTTTTTTAAATGGTGAAATTGTAATACAGACAGGTTACACACTTTCCCTAAGGTCACACAATAAAATCAGTCAGAGCTGCCATTAGAATCCAGGTGCGCAGTCTTAGTCCAATGCTTTAACCCAGTGGTGCTCAACCTTTTTTCCCTGATGGGCTGGATGGGTGGTGCCTGGTCTGTTTGTGGGCTGGATCCAGCTGGTGGTCCCAATTTGGTGCCCATGGGTGGGTATGGCAGGGCACCATCCAGCTGAGTGGCAGGGGGCAGCCCATGCTGATCTAGCTGTGTGGGAGAAAGGGAGTATTGCCCGGCCATGATTCAGTTGCACAGGCAGAGGGGGCATGGCTTAGCTCTAATTTGGCTTTGTGGGGGTGGTCCAGCTCTGACCCACAGTATGGGTCTTGGGAATTTGGGAGCAGGTGAGGGTGGCAATATTAATTGCCGCTGCCAAATATCCTGACACATGGGAAGCCCTGAGGGCTGGATGCCATGGCTCCATGTACTGGATTTGGCCCATGGGCTGGAGGTTGATCACCCCTGGCTTAGTACAAAAGTCCTGATACTGACTGGGGTCTTTGGTTGCTACTGCCATTATCATGTGAAAAATAATAATACCATATTTTCTCACACACTTTCTTCCAAGATCAGCCCCCAAAATTGGGTTGTATGTATTTAGCAAGGAAGCTGCATTTTTGTTGGTGATAGAAGCACCCTGGTTTGATCTCTGCTCCACAGGCTCCTCAGGGTGTCAATGGCCCATTAATGGCCCATTATTCTTCGCAATTATTAAAGATCATCTCTTCTTTGTAATGGTCTTCCACTAATGAAGCTAACCTTAGGGGATTTTACTATTTACTAGGGCTTCCAGTCTCTTCTCCTATTTCACAGCTTTTTAGCCTTTGTCAAAATCAGAGGTCCACCCATGCAGACCAGCCTTCAGAAACAGGTAGGTTAGTAGGCTAAAAAAACAGGGTATAGATGTCACCCCACTATTTTGTTTCCTAACAAATTAGCCGAGGCAGAACTTTTGGTGCCCAGGGTGGTATTGGGGGAGACAGATAAAGGAGGTGGAGTATCCTTCTTGCACAGTGGTTGTAGCATGGGCTACTTCTACCTCTGCACAAACTCCCTCAACATGGGCTGTGACAGCTTGGGAGGCTGCCATTATGGTGCCCTATTTGAACTGATGCTAGGAACTGATGCTCTGGTCTTCTCCCCTCCACAAGTTATGCTACTGGCAGTTACAGTCCAATCCTGCAAACATGCATGGATAACTTTAGGCACATGAGTACTCCCACTTACTTCAACAGGAGGACAACTGAACCGTAGGCTTTTAGAACAACTGGTTTATTTCTGACATGCCAAAGGCCAGATCCTGCAAAGATATATATACACAAGTTATACCTGCAAGTCCTTGTAGAGCAGTCCCTACATCTCTAAGATATCATTAATAGCGTGTTTAGCTTCACAGAGCCGTCAATTCTATGAAGTTTTTTCTTTGAAATTTTAAGCAGCTTTATACACTATGTAATTGTCATCTTACAGTTAGTTAATTTGTTCCTTATTTTACAGTATAGCAAATATTAAATTATTCATTATTATTTTGTTCCTATGATTGTGACAACAGAGAATGTCTTGTTATATGATTCTTTTTTGATTTGGCTGAATTACCTCCACTAATGTCTTAATTGTTTTTGTTGGACTACTACCATATCTTTTGTTGTGTT